CTTCTGGAGTGCTGGGTTTGTAAGCTGTGAGATTGTATGTAGCATCAGAGGCTGTGAAAATCCAGATCTCCTTGGTGTTGTATAGTATCTCAATTGCTGGAGATGGGCTGTAGAGTGATAAAACAGCTGTTCCCAAACCTTGTGGGGTAGGTTTCTGTTATTTTGCCAGTAATAAAATGTATCCACTAGATTCCTTTCTAGTAATCCTTGTTCTCTGTGACCCTGAAATCTTCCTCATCTCCCCCCCCCCCCCCAATTTACCACAAGGCAAAGAGTCATTGCCCAGAGCTAGAGCATGCATGCCGAATGCTGAAGAGATCTCAGGTCTAATCCTCAGCTTCTCCAATTTAGATAGGGTAGGAAAGACTTATGCCACAGAGCTTGAAAAATATAATGATTCGGTAGCTCACATTGCCCCAACTTGGTCGTTTTATTGCCACCCAGGATACAGATGGCGTGAAATGCACTCTTACTAGTAATAGCTATAAAGGTTTAGAGCAAGAAAGTGGTGGATTTTATACCCTGCCTTTCTCTACCTTACAAAGTCTTAAAGCAGCTTACAGTCACCTTCCCTTCCTCTCCCCACAACAGGCACCTTGTGAGGTGGGTGGGGCTGAGAGCACTGAGAGGACTGGGGCTGGCCCCAGCAGGCATCACAAGGAGGAGGGAGAGTGGGGAAGCAAATGCAGTTCTCCAGACTAGAAGAAGAAGAGACTGGATTTATACCCCGCCCTTCACTACCCAAAGGTGTCTCAGGGCGGTTTACAAGCTCCTTTCCCTTCCCCTCCCCACAACAGACACCCTGTGAGGTAGGTGGGGCTGAGAGAGCTCTGACAGAAACTGCTCTTTTTCAAGGACAGCTCTTATCAGAACTACGGCTTGCTCAAGGTCATCCAGCCAGGTGCAAGTGGAGGAGGGGGGAATCAAACCCGGTTCTCCCAGATTAGAGTCCACTGCTCTTAACCACTACACCATGCTGGCTCTCTGGTTTATTCTGTTACTACCTTCTGCCAGGTGAACACCAAAGCCCCCCTTGGTGTTGCAGGTGGACTCCTGTCCTTCCCGCATCGTTAAAATCTTGCACCTGCCAGTGACACTGTGGGCACCCTGTTAGTTCCTTTGATCGTGGATCCAAGCACAAACCAAGTAGGGCACATCCAGAAAGCGAAGAGTCACTGGGTTAGGAACTGGTTTGCCCCAGGCCAGGGCAGGTTAACATCCGATTTACAAAAAAATAATAATCAGATTTTCATCACTTTTTAAAAAACTTCAGTTATATTACATGTTCCTTTTGATGCCTTTGATTTAAAATGAAATCTGAGCTTTATAAAAGCAAGTTATATTGTACAGTTACCTCTTCAGTTCAGTTTGTGACCCTCCATCAAGCATACTAAATTAAAACCTGATTTTCTGTGTGAAAGAAAATACCACAGGGAAAAACATTTGACTTCTGAGGCCAGTGTTAGAAATCAGTGGGTCATATATTTATTGTAGTGACATTATTCATATTTATGACCTTCATCCCAACAGTATGCGCACTGACTTTCGATCTCCTAGACAAGTGCTGTTTTGCCCATTATTTACCACCCTTGCTTTTGGAAAGTTCTGGGTGTGTGGCCTTTGATCCAGTGCATTTAACTCTGTGCTGGTCTGTAGCCCTTGGGCTGAAGTAATTGTGGCTTACTGTCATTGCATATGAACCCAGAGCCAACCAGAAATCTATTAGTTTCACAGTTACACACAGTTTCTAAGCAGATATAATTGTGTGGTGCCGGAGGTTTGTAGACAGCAATTATTCACAGATTGTATCCCCCACCTGTCAACCAAAGGTTAACCATCATCAGAATATCTGGATTACTCTCCTAGATACTATGCAGTTTATTTAGATACATATATGCACATTTGTTCCAGAAACACTTGAATTACTAAGTGGGGAAACCTGTTTCTTTATTGGAATACTTGTGCCTGTGCTATCAATCGTTTGATTCCCAAGTTGTCTGACAAAATAATCCTAAAGCAATGAATGCCCAGGCGTTGTCATAACAATATGCCATAGTGTGAAGCTAACAATATGAAAATCTAGAACAATTTTGCAGTGATGTAAAACCAGCACAGAAGTGAAAAATTTGGTTTGGAAGCATAAAACCAACAGGGGACCAGTAAAAGTCAAATCAGTTAAAAAAGCTGAAGCAGGACTATCTATTGATGTTTGTGTGCCTGTTAGGGGCCACGGTGGCTCAGAGGTTACAGTCGAAAACAAGAAATTGCAAGTGGATAAGTAGGTACTGCTTTGGTGGGAAAGTAACAGCCTTCTGCGTGCCTCGGTGTTGAGTCATGCCGGCCACATGGCCACGGAGAAGTCTTTGGACAGCGCTGGATTTTCGGCTTGGAAGCGGAGATGAGCATCGCCCCCAGAGTTAGATTCGACTGGCTTTCGAGCAAGGGAAACTTTTACCTTTATGTGCCTGTTAATTACCCTGAATACAGGCAAGTTAGGTTACAGATACTTTGTGCTGTATTCCATATTTGGCAGGTGGGCTTGATAAGAAGCCCAACAGAAGCACATCTTTAGCAAAGCCAGCTTAAAACAGCATGAAGAAGTGAGCAATCTTTTGAGTTCAGGCCGCTGAGCAAATCAGAAAGGGGGATGAGAAGCAGGAGATGCAGATATGCCTGATGGGGAATGCCCATCTGCAGTGTGTGGGGGAGATTTCAATCACGATTTAAATTGTCCTGATTCCATCAGTGTGCCTGGCCCGCGTGCCTTCTTGGCGTGATCCTGGCTTAGAGTGTTCTTACTCTCCTTCGGGCTTAAGGTGGCACACGTACCTGATTTGGTTTCCCTTTGCTGCCATGAACTTAGCAGGCTGGGTGGTTCTCATTCGTAGAGCTCCAGTTTGGATGGGCTGCACGGCTGTGGTGGCTGATTGAAGGTCAGCGTAAAGGCAGATATTCTCTGAGAGAGGCAGCAGTTGGCAGTAGCTCGGAGCAAGGTAGTTGTGGTGGGCTGGGTGTGGAGTGGGATACTGAGATGTGAGAGGGCCCCTCAGTTTTGCTCCCCAGTCAGGAGTTTGATGGGCCATTTCAGGGGTCAGGAATCAGAATCCTGGTGCCCATGACCAGCTAGAAGAAGAAGAGATTGGAGAAACAATGACTGAGGGGTGACATGATCGAGGTTTATAAGATTATGCATGGGAAAGAGCAGGTAGAGAAGAGGTACTTTTCTCCCTTTCTCACAATACAAGAACTCGTGGGCACTCCATGAAATTGCTGAGCGGTCGGGATAGAACGGATAAGAGGAAGTACTTCTTCACCCAAAGAGTGATTAACACTTGGAATTCACTGCCACAGGAGGTGGTGGCGGCTACAAGCATGGACGGCTTCAAAAGGGAATTAGATAAGCATATGGAGCAGAGGTCCATCAGTGGCTATTAGCCACAAGGTATAGATAGGGACTCTGGGGCAAGTGATGCTCTGTCATCTTGGTGCTTGGGGGGGTCAGCAGTGGGAGGGCTTCTAATGTCCTGGCCCCACTGGTGGACCTCCTGATGGCACTGGTATTTCTGGCCACTGTGTGATACAGAGTGTTGGACTGGATGGGCCTTTGGCCTGATCCAATATTGGCATCTCTTATGTTCTTATGTTCTTAAGAGATTGGATTTATACCCCGCCCTTCACTACCCAGGAGAATCTCAGAGAGGCTTACAAACTCCTTTCCCTTCCCCTCCCCACAACAGACACCCTGTGAGGTAGGTGGGCCTGAGAGAGCTCTTGACAGGAACTGCTCTTTTTAAGGACAGCTGTTATCAGAGCTACGGCTTGCCCAAGGTCAGCCAGCCAGTTGCAAGTGGAGGAGTGGGGAATCAAACCCGGTTCTCCCAGATTAGAGTCCACGCACTTAACCACTACACCACACTGGTGGCCAGCGTTTCACTTCTGTACTTAGAACCTGCCTTGGTGCTGCTGCACACTACCAGTTTGGGTCTCCAAGATTTTGGAGAGGTGCAATACTTTTGAGTATAGTTGCAGTACTCCTACTTGGCTGCGTGAGGAGCAGATCTTTCGTAAGGGTACTGGTAAGTAATCATTAACAGGCCTTTGAGTGAAAGGGACTCCTTTAATCCTAAACCATCCCTGACAGTTGTTGTTAATCCTGATTATAGGTAAGGCTGCTCAGAATATACCTGGCCAGGTGTTTAAAGCATTAATTGGGTGTGGAACCGTAATGGAGGGAGACTTACCTTAAGGAGGATGTTAACTTTGGCAAAAAGCATTTATTAATTAAAATATTTATACCCCACCTTTCTCATGTGGCTGCTTACAGTTCCAAACTAAAATAATTTAAGATAGTGAAGTCCTGTTAAGACAGACACACACCCCAAAATGCCTGCAGCATATTAAAAGCTCTAGCAAATAAAGCAGTCTTGTAGAGCTGCCGTTAAAAAAAAATTAAAAATTAAAACTACTGTATTTATGGTTAAGGTTATGGTTATTGTATTGTTATTGATTGTTTTAGATGTATTGTATCATTTTATTGGTTTTAATGTTGTAAGCCGCCCTGAGCCGCTTTTGCGGGAGGGCGGGATAAAAATCTAATAAATAATAATAATAATAATAATTAAGATGTGCTACACAAATATGTCTCAGTAACATTCAGGCGACTGAGTTGTGTTTTGCCTTTTTTTTGCTGGAAACACCAGGATACCCAAGTTAAATTAAACAGTTTTAAATGAGATTTTTAGAGTACGGAAGTACCGTACCTGAGGCGGTTCCTGTGTAGAACTAGGATTCTCCAACCTCTCTTCTCAAACAGTGATGTTCTGGTGCGCATAAAAGCATGGGCTGCCCCTGGCATAAAGACATTCCTGGCCTCGAACTCACTCAGACAGATTCTTGATGGCACAATGAGCAGGAATTGGTGGCCTATTTAGGAAAGGGCCTGTCCCTTCACTCCTGAATAAAGCGTTGCCTTTTCTTCCTCTTACCCTCTCCTTCTCCAGCAGAGGCACGTTTCGTGGGGAGCCAGGAGGAACCATCGTACTCAATGACCTTACAGCGCAATGTCAGATCGTTTGGGGCAAACAGCAAAGGGGAAGGATGGAAAAAAGTATTCGTCGCTCAACCTGTTTGATACGTACAAGGGCAAGTCCTTAGAGATCCAGAAACCCACAGGTACGGTGGCTGGTGTGTTGGCGCAGAGGGGACACGGATGTGCTTGCAGAGGGCTTCCCAGCATCCTGTTCTCGGAGGAGGGGGCAGCTGCTATGATGAACCCGCCTAGACTCTTAGTCTCTGATGCCTCTGTGATGGCACTCGCAGCGCCCTGAGCAGCTGCCCCCGCCCCGGGGCTTCCCCGGGGGGGCTGCTAAGGGGGGCGGGGGGGGGGGGGGTCAGGAAGGGGGAGGGCAGCCAGGTCCCGAGTCTGCCACTCACCCTTGCTCCTCCCTCCCCTGCAGTCACTCCCCGCCATGGCTTGCAGAGTCTCGGTAAGGTTGCCATTGCCCGGCGCATGCCACCCCCTGCGAACCTGCCAAGCTTAAAAGCGGAGAACAAAGGCAATGACCCCAACGTCTCACTAGTGCCGAAAGACGGGACAGGATGGGCAAGCAAGCAGGAACAGCCAGACCCAAAGAGGTAAGTGGGTGCTGGGAGGGGGGCAAGCCTCCAAGCGATCCCCCTCCCTTTTCCCCCCTCTGGCTTGCATCCTTCATGCGGACGCGTGCCCTGTCTTTTGTCTCCAGTACCGATGCCTCGACAGCTCAGCCGCCGGAATCGCAGTCACCGCCGGCTTCACAGACGTCTGCCTCAAACCCACCGAAACGACCCCCAACAGCCCCCGAGGTAAACCTAGGGCAGTAATGTGGGAACGGGAGAAGCCCCAGGAGAGCCTTCCCTCTTCCATTGGCCGCTGAGTTTCTTGAGAGCCAGTCTGGTGAAGGGGTTAGGAGCACGGACTCTAATTTGGGAGAACTGGGTTGGATTCCCCTCCTGTTCTCAAAGGGAGGGGGCAGCTGCTATGATGAACCTGCCTAGACTCTTAGTCTCTGATGCCTCTGTGATGGCACTCGCAGCGCCCTGAGCAGCTGCCCCCGCCCCGCTTTAGGGCTTCCACAGTAGGGCTGCTAAGGGGTGCAGTGGGGGGGGTCAGGAAGGGGGATGGCAGCCAGGTCCCGAGTGCATGCAGCTGCTGGTGTGACCTTGGGTCAGTCACAAGTTCTCTCAGACTGTTCTCTCAAGGACGGTCCTCGAAAGAGCTCTCTCGGGCCCACCCACCTCACAGGGTGTCTGTTGTGTGGAGGGGAAGGGAAAGGGGTTGTAAGCCTTCCTTCGGGTAGTGAAGGGCTGGGTATAAATCCAATCTCTTCTTTTTCTTCTTAATGTCTACCCTGTAGCTGTAATCAAACAGACCTGCTGGTTTACAGACAAGCAGGACTGTCCGTTCCCAACCCCCTTTCCTCCCTTTTGGGTATTCTGCACTCGTATTTTTTCCACCGGATCTGAGACCGGAAGATTGTGTCTCTGATTTCAGCAGAAGCTCCCATTTCGATCTCCGTTTGTGAGAGCTGATTGACTGTATTTAGGTGGTTGTGACGGCAGTATCTGTAGAGGCCCGTGAGGGATTAGGAGGCTTGAGCACCCTAAAATTCCTCCCCGAAAGTCCAGATTGTGGCTGGGGGCGGGGTTGCTGCATGCCTGCATAGGTTCAACGTAGTTCTCTTTTTATTTAAAGTTCATTTCAATTTTTCCATTTTCTTTATGTAATACAGAAAGCCTGAGGGCTTTATCGTGACTTTTAGTGGAGGCTCACAAAGGCACTGAAGGGATCAAGGATTCCCTGGTCATACCTCTGAGCATTTCTAAATCTCTCCCGACTGTGTGTGAAATGTTTCCAAGCCACCAGTGTACGTTTCTTGGGATGTCCTAGTCCATCCAGTATGGTCACTGACCTAGTCCACTGAGGGCGTCGGTGTGGCGCAGTGGTCAGAGTGCTGGATCGGGGAGACCCAGGTTCAAGTACCCCCATGCTATGGAAGCTCGCTGGGTGACCTCGGGCCAGTCCTGCCCTCTCAGCCTAATCTGCCTCTCAGGGTTGCTGTGGGGATTAAATTGAGGAGAGGAGAAGAATGGAGGCTGCTTTGGGTCTCCACGGAGAAAGAAAGGGGGGGAATAAATGAAGTAAGTTAACTATAAGACCACCAAGTCAAAAGGCATGTCTAAAACTGAAAGCCCCGATCCTCTAAATCCCTGCCAGGGCTATTATTGCTGGTTAGCGGGAAGGCAGCAGGAAGGTTTGTTACTCAGTCATGGTTTCCTGCCTCTTTCAGAATCCCCCTACAGTAGCAAGCGGGGTAAAGTCTTGGGCACAGGCCAGCGTTACCCATGGAGCGCAAGGAGATGGTAAGTGGCGTTGAAACTCACTTTTGTCTGAAGCTGGGATTTGGTAAGAAGGGGTTAAAAACATCAGAGCGGGCAACCAGTTCCAGGGCCCAGAGGCCGAGGCCTTCCCCCGATGTCGCCTCCTGGCTCTGGGACTCGGAGGCTCAGTGCCTCGGAATGTGGAGGTTCCCCTCAGTCGCCATGGCTCCTAGCCACTGATAGACCCCTCCTCCCCGGATCTATCTAATCCCCCTTTAAAGCTGTTTATTCCTGTGGCCATCACTACATCCCTCTGGCAGGGAATTCCACCTTTTACTCACTCTCTGTGTAAAGTAGTATTTCTTTTTGTCCGTCCTGAACCTACTGCCCCTCAGCTTCATTGGAACGCCCTTCAGTTCTAGTATTTTGGGAGAGGGAGAAAAAATTCTCTTTGTCAACTCTCTCCACCCCATGCATGATTTTATAAGCCTCTATCTTGCCCCCCCCCCCCCCCGGTCAATTGTCTCTTTTCTAAACGGAAAAGTCCCAGACTCTCCAGCCTTTCCTCCTAGGGAAGGTGCTCCAACCTCCAGTATTTTAAAGCACTCCTCCAGAGGCGTAGGAACTGAGATTCGTGTGGGGTTTTCTTCCTCTGGTGTCAAGGTGGAAAGGGATCAAGCCTACTGTCGCGATTCTCTCGCGAGGAATTTCCGACCCTGCAGGCGGCTGGCGACCAGGACAAAGCTGGCAAAGAAAAGGACACTACCGATGCGTCGTATGGGCCCGGACCAAACCTCCGCCCCCAGAGTGAGTGGGGGTCACCTGGAGTGGGCCGCTCTGTCTCAGCCCCGGGGCAACGGGATGCCCTTTGCTCCCAAACCTAAACTAGGATCTGACAGGAGGTCTTCTCGCTTGCCATTCATCCTCTCCTCTCCCTCCCCCTGGTCTCTTTGCAGACGCAACCGGCTGGCGGGATGGAGGCGGGCGGGGCACCGATGGGGAGCTGCTGCCTGAGGATGGACGGGCTGGGGTCGGCATGCAGCCCAATGTCCCGCCTCAGTTTCCTCCTTACCGGGGGATGATGCCGCCATTTGTAAGTATACCTGGGGGGCCGCTCGGGGTTCTGGTGCCTCCTTCTTTTGTTGTCTCCAGACCCACCTTCCATTCTCTGGAATAAATAGGGGTGGTGGTGGATAAAAGCAGGAGTCACGGTAAATTTGAAAGGCTACAGGGATAGGAAGGAAGGGGCTTCCTTTGTGGGTTTGAGGATGGTAGACACATGTGTTGGTGGCAGGCTGCCGGTGCTAGAGAACTGGGGAAGAGCAGCTGGTCTCATCGTAAATCAAAATCCTCCTTCCCCTTCACAGATGTATCCCCCATACCTCCCGTTCCCGCCTCCGTATGGGCCACAGGGACCGTACCGCTACCCCACAGCGGAAGCACAGAGGTAGGTGCAAGAAGATAAATGGGGGGGGGCACATAATGGTGTTGGGAAAGGCATGTGGAAGGTCTGAGCGTGGGAGAGGGAGGGCACAGGTGCTGGAGACCCCGGAAGGTGGAGCCAGCATTCCTTGTGGTAGTCGCGTTGAGAATTCCAGCGCTTTCTTCATCCACTTCCTTTGACTCATTCTAACTCCAGTGAAGGTGAGTGAAAGCAGCCAAGGGCCACACTTCTTCCCTTGAGGCAGTTCATCAGAGAGGAGTAGAGCAGGCGGTGGTGCCTGTGAGGTGGAAGAGATCCCAGGCAGGCGGTATCCTTCCTTGCCCTCATGCATGTGCAGAAATAAGGGAATGGCTCTTTTGTTGGGCTGGCGGGTGGGAGAGATCAGGAAGGGGATACTCAGCTGCCTGTAAATCCGTAGAGTGCAGCACTCCAGTCTGATTGTGGAGGAACTATCCCAGTGTTTGCCGCTGAGCCGTGAAATCCCTAATCTGCCTCTCATTGTGGATTGTCTTACCTTTAATTCCTTCAGGAGATGGCTGGGAGGGGGGAGGTCCTCTGTAGGCAGACTTTGTATCACACTGGGGGGGGGGTTGCTTTTTTTGTATTCTTTGTGTGTGCGCGCACCTGGAAGTCATGGCGACCTCTAGTGACTGTGTGCACCTGGAAGTCATGGCGACCTCTAGTGACTGTGTGCACCTGGAAGTCATGGCAACCTCTGGTAACTTGACCCCTTCCGGGGGCCTGGAGGGTATTCCGAGAGGGGGCTGAATATAAAGCCTGCCCCCGCCTCCGGTATTCCAAGGAGGTCCCCATCCAAATACTTGCCAGAGTCAACCCTGCTTAGCTTCCGAGAGCTGACAAGATTGGGCTTGTCTGGGCTATCCAGATCAGGGCACATCACACTGTTTGATCTTCTGGTTCCTCTAGTGTGTACGACACCAGAAACAATTTGGCTTGGTAGCATCGCGGAGGCAGAGATGGGGCCTCTTCTCATTCTTCTTTCCTCAGGTTCCAGAGGCTCCCGGGACCCCGCCCCTCGCAACCTCCGCTGCGCATGCCGGAGCCCGTGAGCAGGCCACCCGTCCTCAAACAGGATGACCTGAAAGAGTTTGACGAGTTGGACCAGGAGAATGATGAAGGCTGGGCAGGTGATTGGCGGGCCTTTGCTTGGGGGGGGTGTCACGTAGCCTCACCTCGGCGTTCTGGAGTTTGTCTGCCGTCCCTTCAGCCCCCGGGGGGGGGGGCCTTCCTAAGGGGATCGACCCTCCAGGACGTTCTCCAGTCCTGAGACTCAGTCTGAGTCTGCCAGTGTCTCTCCCCCTCAGGAGCCCACGAAGAAGTGGACTACACCGAGAAGCTGAAATTCAGCGACGAAGAAGACGGGAAATTAAAGAGTCTGATGAAGAAGCTGCTGCTGAGAACCGGTAGGGATCTGTTAATGAGGCAGCCACGCATGACTTTCCCACAGCATTAGCATCCAGAGCTTCAGGATTGTGGACCCCTTGAGGGCAGATGAGCTCCCAGCAGTGTCCAGGGAATCACCCCTCAGAATGTGTCTTTCCCCCGCAGCTGCTTCTGTGAAGGGCACCAGAGTCTGATTTATCGTTGGACCTGCTACCGTCACTCCTTCCAGTGCACGCCGTGATCCCCGCAGTCCCGTTTGACAACCTTTTCCTCCCTTCTCTTTCTCCACAAGGAACGATGAGGCTTCTGGCCCTGAAAGCCAGCAGTCGGGCCCAGATGCAAAGAAGGCCGGAACCCCAAAAGAGGAGCAGCCTCCGGTAAAGATGGCCTGGGCGGAAAACTCCCGTCCCCAAGAGGGCACCAAAGAGCCCCCGCCGCCACCCTGCCCCGTGGTCCGGCCGCCGCCACCTCCCCCACCCAACCGGGGCAACTGGGGGCAACCGAATGACTTCCCGGTGAGTTTTGAAGTGCTTGGGAAGCTTGGCAGGTGCTGTTCACAAAGAAGGCTGGCGGTCAAAGCCCAGAAGGCTGAGTTCCTTCAGCACGCCAGAGGGCAAATTGGGCTCGAGTCCATGTCAGGGTGAAAGGCCAGGTGAAGGACCTTCAAAGGCTCTTGTTCCGTTGAAACCTGGTTCAGTCTGGAAGAAGCACCTCGTAGGTGATCTGCCTGTGAACCGCCCTTGTTAACAAAACATGCTTGAGGCTTAGAATGTGACCCCTCCACAGTCTTCCCTGAGGCAGGAAAGCTGTTTCTCAGTGGTGACTTTTCACGCTCTGAACTGAAGGCCTATGAGGTCGGGTGCCCTTCCAGTTACAAGTAGAAAGTGCCACTGCCGAAGAGTTCTTTCTAACTTTTGCTCAGCTTTTTAGTGGGGCAGAAAGTTAAACTAGAACCCTTCCTACTTATAACACAGCACCTTTTCATGTGGCGAGCGAGAGGGTGGGAGGAGGGTGCATGGAGGAACATTTGAACATAAAAGCCCCCCCCCCCCCAAGCCTCACCTCTGCAGCCTGAAGTGGTACTGCCCACTTTAGGCCTCTCCTCCCATTTGCTTACTCAGGGAAACCTTTTAAGAGGCCCGGGGTAGGAAATTGAAGTATGGGGTTAGAGTGGGGACGTAAAGATTGCCAACGACTTGCCTTCCACCAGATCAGTGTAGGTGGGCAGCATCCCAAGAATTTCCAGTGTTGGGTGAATGGGTGGGTGGGTGGGTGTTTTTTTAACCTTAACTCTGGCTGTCATGCAGGCAGGTGATTCCTCCCAGCTGGCGGGGGGAGATCTGCTTTGCAGAGTGGGGCTGAGACCAAGGGCAGAGACAGGAGAGCAGATGGCTCAGAAGCTTTAGGCTCTTGCAATATGCCAGTGTCTGTGTGGGAAGGGCAGCCGTCTCAAGGTAGAAGAGAGAAGCAAAGGCTCGGCGTGGCGGAGGCGTGGGCTTTGCATACTCTGCACCGGGAGGCATAGATGCTCAGAATTTGTTCTGAAACAATGAATTCTGTGGCCGGCATAAATTAAGCAAGTGTAGATGGACGGCTTCATTTGTTGGGGGGCTCGGAGACAGTGCCGCACAGGGTCTTGGGCAGAAATCCCCTGGGCCTGACCACCCGAACCCTGAGAATTCAGCCGGCATTGTACGTGTCAGCGTAAGCCTCTTACCAGGAATGAGTTAAAATGATCATGAGGCCGAATTCTGAACCCAGGGTGAGATTTTGTGCTGGCGCAGTGTGGATCCTGGAAATGTGGCAGACGAACAGCCCTCGGCATGAGCCCCTTACCTACCGGGGCTGAAACGAGCTTGAATAAGCAGGAGGTGATTTGGCTCTAAAGGGAAGGTGCCGGCTGAATTGCTTGGAGGGGAGGGCAGGGAGGGAGTGCAGCAGCAACCCGTGGGCGGACGTCCCCGAGTACGGAATTTCCATGGTTTGTTTTTGTGGGCGGTGGGGAGAGAATCTCTGCCCTCCCCCAGAACCTATGAGTCTCCCTAACGCACAGACACTGATCTGGGGCTCCCTCCTTCAGGACCGTCCTCTGCGGCCGCCCCCTCCGGAAGACGAGGACGAGGCCTGGCGTCAGCGCCGGAAGCAGTCGTCCTCCGAGATCTCTGCCGCTGTGGAGCGTGCCCGGCGTCGGCGGGAGGAAGAGGAGCGGCGTATGCAGGAGGAGCGGCGGGCCGCCTGCGCCGAGAAGCTCAAGCGGCTGGACGAGAAGTTTGGGGCGCCCGACAAGCGGCTGAAGCCCGAGCCTCCTAAGGAGCCGCCTGCCCCCCCTCCGGCCCCCGTGCCGGTGCCCTCCACCCCACCTGCTGCCCCACCTCCCCCAGAGGAGAAGCGGGAGAAAGAGGAGCCGGTTTTACCTAGCAAGGCGCGTGGTCCTGTCGGAGGCAGCAGCGGTGGGAGCAGCCAGGACTCAGTCAGTGCAGGTGAGGGAATACCCTTGCCCAGGTGCATGCATCCGTGCGCACGTGCTCCCCTGCAGCTTGCCAGTGGCATCCTCACCGCCCCCCGAGAAGTACCTGACAGCACAGGCTGTCAGTTGCACGTACCGTGGCCATCCGATAAATGTCTCCTGACTTCCCACGTGAAGGTTACTCCTAGTCTGAGCACAGGAGGGCGTCCCCATTCTCAGCCCTGGACCCCAGTCCCTGTCCTTTCTTTAGCTTTCAAAGCTTGCCATAATTAAGCCTTTTCTCTCCTGAACCTCCTGGAGAAACAAAACTAAATCTAAACATCCCGAGATGACGTCTGCTAAAACCTGCTTAAAACTTGACACAGCCTGCCAGCAGCCCTCCACTTTAAAAAAAAACCTCCCCGAACGAGCGTGTGCCCTTTCCAGTGACAAGAGTAGAAGACTGGAGTTGGGGTCGTGATATTTGCAGGGGTGAACAGGTTTGCCGTGGAGACCTGGCTTGATGCTCAAGTAGGCCTGGAAGACAGATGGAGCGGGGCTGTAGCTGTGGATCGGAAGGGGCTGGGAGGTACTTGGGGGGGGGGTGGAAAGAGATGGACAACCAAAACCACATAGTGCTAGTTCCCCCCCCCCCCAAATCTTCCAGGCTCCCACCAGTTGCCCATCACAGCTTGGCAGCCCAGACTAGGGGGCCTGGTGGCTAGGAGTGCCAGAAAGTGTATCTCGCCTACCTGTTGCTTTAGAGTGTTTGTGTGTGTGTCTCTCTCATGTGCCTCACAGCTGAGCCACTGCAGACTCCTCCCCCCAAGGAAGTGGCCGAAGTGAGGGAAGAGGCCATGCCGTTATCCGCACCGGCTCTCCCGGCGGCCGCCGCCATCCCAGCCAAGGCAGAGCCCAAGGGAGAGACAATTCTTCAGACACGCCAGCCGCCTCCGGCTCAGACTCTTGGCTACTCCAAGTATCAGAAGTCCCTGCCTCCCCGCTTCCAGAGGCAGCAGCAGGTATGGGGGAACCGAGTTGGGCTAGTGGGTTCGGAAGTAGATAGCTTGTTCCCAGTGGGGATGGGGAAGGGACCTCCCGGGGCCTGTGGCCGGCAGTGAGGCTGCTGCTCCGACTAGAGTCTCTGTCACCCATTGATGTCCTCACAGCTCTCTGAGCAACCCGCTGCTCTGTCGTCCTCCTGTGCCATAAGGAGCAGCATCGCTGACTAGCAGGCTAAAAGGGCACTGGCTCTTGTTTGTGGTTAAGTGCGTGGACTCTAATCTGGGAGGGCCGGGTTTGATTCCCCCACTCCTCCACTTGCAGCTGCTGGTGTGACTTTGGGTCAGTCATAAGTTCTCTCAGAGCTGTTCTCTCAAGGGCAGTCATCGAAAGAGCTTTCTCAGCCCCACCCACCTCACAGGGTGTCTGTTGTGGGGAGGGGGAAGGGAAAGGAGTCCGTAAGGCGCTCTGAGACTCCGAGTGAAGGGCAGGGTCTAAATCCAATCTCCTCCTCGTCTTCTTTCAGGAGCAGTTGTTGAAGCAGTGGCAGCAGCAGCAGCACAACCAGGCTCAGCCCCCAATGGCGTCCTCTGCACAGCAGCAGATCGCCGCGCCTCCCCTGGCTGCCATGGGCCCCTCGGGCAACGTCCACCCTCAGCCTGGGCCGCCCGGGCAGCAGCAAGCCCCAGCCCCGCCCCCGGCACAGCAGGCCCCGCCCAAAGGCATGTACCCGGGCTCCATTGGACGGCCTCCGCCCATGCCGCAGATGAACTTTGACCCTCGGTGGATGATGATCCCACCCTACATGGACCCACGCATGATGCAGGGACGGCCACCCTTGGATTTCTATCCACCAGCGGTGCACCCTTCTGGTAAGTAGATGCAGAGAAGGCCAGACAGTACTGAAGATGATCCAGGGCAGATCAGCAAGTAGGAGAGACGAGGTTAGCCGGATTCATCCGTCAGCCTCAGAGGGGGCTGAGCTTGGCAGACCGGATGAGCCGTCGGCTCTGACCTGTGCCTGCCTTTCTCTCCCTCAGGCCTCCTGCCCCGCGAGCGATCCGACAGCGGGGGCTCCGGCTCGGAGCAGTTTGACCGCCACCCTCCCCTCCTCCGAGAGCGGGGCACCCCGCCAGTCGATCCCAAGCTGGCCTGGGGCGGAGACGTCTTCACAAACGCCCCCTCGGCTGCAGACTCGCGGCCTCAAGCGGCATCCCATCGGCAGCAAGAGGAGGAGGAGAAGGGCCTGAGGTGAGAGGGTTTTCTGAAAGGGCCCCGATACACTGGCCAGGCAGCAGCCTGAGTTCTAGAGACACGAACCAGCCCTGAACTGAGCCGAGGTGCGTTTTGGTGTAGTGGTTAAGTGTGCGGACTCTAACCTGGGAGAAACGGGATTGATTCCCCAATCCTCCACGTGCACCTGCTGATGTGACCTTGGGTCAGTCACAAGCTCTGGCACAGCTGTCCTTGAGAAAGAGCAGTTTGTGCCAGACTTCTCTCAGCCCCACCCACCTCACAGGGTGTATGTTGTGGGGAGGGGAAGGGAAAAGGAGTTTGTCAGTCGCTCTGAGACTCTGAGTGAAGGGCAGGGTCTAAATCCAATCTCCTCCTCGTCTTCTTCTTCATCATTGCTGGAGCTGGGGCAGCGAGTCCTAGAGTTGTGATGGGCACTAGCTTTCTGGAGGGTTGCACGTTGGCCGCCGTAGCACCTCTCCGGGAAGGCCAGTTCCCAAGTCCCTTTTGGAACACCTGCTGTCCTTTGTGCCCTCCTTGTGCCTGGAAGGTTCCCCACCAGTCAGGAGTCCCAGGTGGCAACACTCAAGCCTCCGCACGTGGCCCCGGGCCCATCAGGAGCTCGGTCACAGGACCGCAACTGTTCCCTTAACCTTTCTTCTCCTTTCAGGAGCGAGACGCCTCCAGTCCGCCTACGTGAGGCCATCACCCCCCAGCCCTATATGGGGAACTACCAAGGCTTCTCAGAGAATGGCAGTTCCGCCCCACTGCACCGCTTCCCAGGGGATGAGTCATCACAGCCAGGGGGCCCCTGGCCAGGCAGTGTGGCTCTGACGGTACCAGCAGAGGTGAGCAGAAACGGACGCCCCGAACCCCAAGTCCAGCCGCCCCGCAAAAGTGAGGAAGAGCCCCAGCTGCTGCACCGCAACCCCCCCGAAGAGATCAAGTCCATCGAGCCCCCAGTCATTCGGCCCGTAGTAGCTAAGAAACCTCCCTCCGAACAGTCTAAAGAGGAGGCCCCAGCCAAAGAGGAGACGCTGCGCCGAGTGGAGAAACCACCACGGCAGCAGCACGAGTTCCACAAGCAGCCACGGCGCGAGTCCAAGACAGAGACACGCTGGGGTCCCCGTCCGGGCAGCAGCCGAAGAGCGGAGGAGATTGTTGGGGACAAGGTTCCGCGGCGAGCTGGGCCCATCAAGAAACCGCCTCCCGTGAAGGAGGCGAAAGACGAGGGTGAGGAGGGGCGTCCTGGTGGGAAGGCCAAGGAAGGTGGGGAGCCGGTGAACAGCAAGCCCGAACCCCCTAAGGAGTCCCCAAAGCCAGGCAAAGAGAACAAGGCCAAGCCCGTGGTAAATGGCGGGACAGTGATGCCGCCCAAAGATCAGCAGCAGGGGACGCTGTCCCCAAGCCGAAGGCGCCGAGAGGCCCCGTATGAGCACGGTGGCTACGCCGGCCGCGGTCGCGCCAGGGGCCGGGGAGAGTATTTTGCCCGAGGGCGAGGTTTTAGGGGGGCTTACAGCGGCCGCGGGCGAGGGGGCCGCGGCAGAAGCCGGGAGTTCCGCAGCTACCGCGAGCCCTTTTACCGGCTGGATGACGGCACCAGCAAAGTTGCCGGACAGGGCTCCGCCTTCCGCCCGCGCAACACCAGCGAGACACGGAGCGAGGGCTCAGAGTACGAAGAGATCCCCAAAAGGCGACGCCAGCGTGGCTCTGAGACGGGAAGCGAGACGCACGAGAGCGCCAGCGACGTGGCCCATTCAGACAAGGAGGTCACCAAAGAACCAGCCCCGAGCCAGCGCAACAGGGGCCCCCCAGTGACTTCAACTTCAGTGCCCTCCCCTCAGCCCCACAGCTTGCCTCGCTTTGCCGACAAGATGCCCCCACGCCTCTCCGACCCAGGCACTCGTGGTGGCCGTGTCTTCACTCCCCGCGGTGTCCCCTCACGTCGGGGCCGAGGAGGTAGCCGTGCACCCCCTGGCGGATGGAGTCCTCCATCGAAGCCACAGCCCAGCAAGAGACCCGAGAAGCAGCAAGAGATGGTGGTGGAGTCTTTGGGGAAGGAAAAGGCTTTGCCAGGGCCCCCATCAACAGCCCCCGAAGAACCCAGCAGCTTCCAAGGCCCGCCAAAACAACAGCAGCAGCAGCTTGGCTCTGGCCCAGACCGCAATTTTGATCGGCCTCCCCGGCGTCGCCGCCACGGGCGTTCCCAGCAGCAGGACAAGCCACCCCGGTTCCGCAGGCTGAAACAGGAGCGAGAGAACGCAGCCCGACTCAATGGCGAGCAGAGGGTCAGCCAGCCCTTCTCTCCCGCCCCTTCTGCCCCACTTCCGGAAGAATCCGTTGCACGGCGGGCCGCCGGCACAAAATCTCCCGATCTGTCCAACCAGAACTCAGACCAGGCGAACGAAGAGTGGGAGACCGCTTCAGAGAGCAGTGACTTCACTGAGCGCCGTGGGGGTGGCGAGAAGGAGCCGGCACCTGGCGGGCTCCCCCCCACTGCGTTCCTGAAAGGGGGCTGTTCCGGCGCCCCTTCCGTGGGCGGGCGGGCCTCCGGCAACGAGCTGAGCCTGGCCCAGCGCAAGGAGATGTCGAAGCGCAGCTTCTCCAGCCAGCGGCCCGGCATGGACCGACAGAACCGGCGCACGAACCCTGGTCCCGGCGGAGGAGGCAGGGCGGGTCGCGGAGGGGCCGGTGGCAGCCGCAACGGAGGTGACAAGAGGAGCTGGTCCTCTCCCAAGAACCGCAGGTAACTCCTCGGAGCGGGGAATGGCGGGGTTGAGAGCTGTAACACTGGGGGTTAGGGCTGACTGAGAGACAGCCAGGTGAGTCGTAAAACGGGTGATCTCTGTGGGGCGTGTCGGGGGGAGCATGGCAGTGGCACTGAGAGAGAGAGCGAAGGCTGGGATGATGGGGGGGGACCTGGGGAAAGACAGAGCTGGAGGACTGCCTAGGGAAGCCCTTTCTCCTGTGCGGTGTTTAGCAAGTGGCTGTGCAGAGTGACGGTCTTCAGTCTTCTCGGCTCTGGGGGTTGGGGGGCTGTCAAGTAGCAGCTGACGTTTGACAACCCTTGAGAGGGTTTTCAAGGCCAGCGATGGAACAGGGGTGGGTTGCCATTGCCTGCCTCTGCACAGACTCTGGGGTATCCCTTGGTTGTCCCCCATGTTCCCTCTAAGCTGTGGAGTCCTGTGAGCAAAAATTCTACTCTGTGAGTCATTGGCATTAAAGTTGTGAGCCAGCAATTTGGCTACTGCGTAAATTAGTTTGCTCTAGAGCCATACTCCCTAAGATGAGACAAAAATCTATGAGCCAGAGGCTAAAAAACTGTGAGCTGGCTCACACTAACTCAGTTTAGAGGGAACACTGGTCGTCTCCCATCCAAGTCCTCACCAGGGCTGACCCTGCTTAGCTTCGGGGGTCTGATGGAACTGGGCCATCCAAGGCAGGGCCCAGATCTAGGACCCACCTGTCGTCGTCAGGCAGACTTCTTGGCTGAAAGGGATCGAAAGGAGAGTGTCTCCCCACCAGGCATTGCACGGGGGCAGTGATGCTTCCCTGCTTCTGCCTGAAATGTGTCTCCGAATAAGCCCCCTGGTTGTCGTCAGTTCCACCCGTTAAAATTTACTGGTCTCTGGGGTTGCCTGGATTATTGGTCCCTTTTGCAATAATCCAGGCAAGTTATTGGCAGCTTCGGCATCAACACATCCAGGGGAGGGAAAAGGAAAGACGGCTACTTCTAAGCTCCCTCTGCAGTGGGAAGCGTGGCGCCCTCCGTTTTGTGATGGTTTCTGTCTTCCCCCGCCAGCCGGAACACCGACGACCACTCCCCAGGCCTGAGCCTGCCTCCGGCGCCCACCACCAGCACGGTGTACCGCCTGGACCACGTCATCCACAGCGACCCAGCCGGCATCCAGCAGGCCCTGGCTGAACTGGGCAGCCGCCACACCAAGCCTGCCTCGCCCAGCCCGTCCCAGCCACTCTTCCCAGGGCCGGGAGGTGGCAGGTCTGCTCTTTCTTTGGGACGCTTTGAGAGCAGGAGTAGCAGTGGTGCAGGTAGTGTTCAGAGTTCAGCTGTAAGGTATATCGGGAGCACTGTGTCTGGGGCAGGACTGCTCTGTGTGCTTTGGGGGGGGGCCAACAGTGGGAGGGCCTCTGGAGTTCTGGCCCCACTGGTGGACCTCCTGATGGCCCCTGGTCTTTAGCCATTGTGTTGGACTGGATGGGCAGTTGACCCCCTCCAACATGGCTTCTCTTCTGTTCTGTGTCCTTATGGGAATTGGGGGGGGGGGGGGGAGCCAGCCAGCCTCAGTGTGTCTGAGGGCTCCACACACGATCTGAGCGGGGCTTTCTGGGTCCCCAGGAACCTTCCGTTGCTAGGGGCCCCTAATTCCAGACAGAGCGTGTCTGAGGCGGAGATGTGAAAACGAGTGGGTTTCCTCCCCGTTTTTGTTCAGACTCGTGCTTCTTGGACAAGACCCAGCTCCTCCACTCCAGCAGCGGTCCCCTGAAGGAGGCCAGCTCCGTGAGTGGCTTTGCCGCCAAGCGCCGGGAACGGCCTCGCAAGCCAGACCTGCTGCAGCAGGTGAGCCTGAGGATCCCACAAGGGCGCTGGCCAGGAGGGGAGGGACGTCCGAGTTTTCCCGCATACCTCCCTTTTTCTGTCTCTCAGGAGCCCCTGGCTTTCCCCAGTGGTCCCGCTTTCACAGCCCCCAAGGAGGAGGGCCCGGGGGAACCCCGCAGCAGGAGTGTCCCGGTGACGGAGGGGCTCGCCCCGCAGATCTGGAGTCATTTGAATCCCAGTGAGTTGTTGGGATGTGGAGGGCAGGGTTCACAGTGCCCGTTCTTCTGGGAAAGGGGCATCTCGGGGGGGGGGGGGGGGTTTGGGCACAAAAGTGCTGATCTAAAGCACAAGGTGCTGCTCTCCATGTTGGGGATGTGCTATTCCTGCAGAAGTCTTGGGCTTGTACCAAGTGGGTATGGTGGCTGGTGGAGAACCGTGGCTTCCATGGGAGGCTTGAAAGGGGATCAGAAGGAGTGAAAGAGCCTTGGATTGAAAGCTGCCTACTAGCTGAAGCAAAGCAGACTTCCTTGGGGAGGGCCGGGGCTGTCTGAGACCAGCCTAAAAGGGAAAGTTATTGGCTCCTCCTTCACGCTGCCGGTGTCCGTCATGCAGACTCCTCCCGGAAGAGCTACCGGCCGGCCTCAGTGGAGCCTTGGATTGACCCGCTGAATTCCTTCGAGGAGGCCGCCAGCACAGAGGTGAGAGTTTGTCAGCAGCTGTGCTTCTTTCTGTGAGCGGGCGGGTAGGTGTGGAGGTGGGACAAGAGGGGAGGCGGCAAGACCTGCGTTCCGGCCTTACCCTTCCTGACGCCTCTCTGCTGTCCTTGCCCAGATGAGCCTGTCGGACAGCGGCGTGGACCTCAGCAGTGACTCACAAGTCTCCTCAGCCACCTGTAGCCAGCGCAGCTCTCCTGATGGGGGCCTGAAGGCCACGCCAGACAGCGGGGCCAAACGTGGCGGAGCTGTCGGCAAGCACGACGAGAACACGGCGTCTGTAGGGCCAGAGGGAGCAGAACTGAAGGAACAGAGAAGACGGCTGCCAGGCAGGGACTCTGGCCTGCTCAAGGAGAATCAGGTACGGAGATGATTCCGGGATAGCAGCAAAGCCTGGTCACCTTGCCCCTTCCCCTTTGCTGGGCTCCTTGAGAAAGTGGTCTGTGCCCCCGCCATCTCGTTGGCTAACATGTAGGTATCACCTGTCCCACATTGCTGTAATAATAATAATAATACCTTTCTATTTATTGATCGCTCAATCCGGCAGAGCTGCTGGCTCAGAACGATTTACAGTTACACGGTTTCACACAAGGGACTAACAATGTCATAGGGGTAATAGCCCTCACAGAGGTTTTTGTCAGGTTCTGAAGGGACCCGGGGGGCTTGTTTCTCCCCATACTGCTTGACTTAGGGATCACATAGAGCATTCCAGCGACATGGTTGATCACAGCGTCCGCATTCTGAGACGTTCCTTTCCTGATTGACCCTTTATTTCTCTGACCTTTT